GGTGTTGAGACAAAGCACTTATCATTTACAGGCATGTGGTCCTAATCTGAAAGATGAATTGGTTCATTCACTTCAAGTACCACATAACCATTCACACACCATCGAGCTTAACACTATTAAAGGGTAATTTCCCCTGTGGGAGCTATGCCCAATACAGCCACGATCTCTACAGTGTCTTTTTATCTTTCCATGGCAGGTAAAGAGATTTAAATAAAAGGCTCCATCAAGAGTGCAATCACAGACATATTCTTCCTATTGAAATACCCATGAAACAGCAAATAAACACCCCTAAAAATCTTAATGTTCCTAAACATTACCAAGACTTCAGTGTACAGTTCCCACTTCAAAATTCTGTGTTGGAATCAAAGCATGTGAGATGCCTCATGAGCTTGTCAGTAGAGGACAGAACATATTATGGGACTATTTGCATTTCCTATTAAATTCTGAATGTAGTAAAACATTTCAGAATAATCAAGGAGTATATTTTGCCTTCATCTCTCATAATCACCATGATTTTTTTTTTAATTTCTCATAATTTCTTTAGTTTGTCTACAATGATTCATTGAACAACCTGTTATTATAGGTTCTATATTCTATCAAAGATGATAATTAAGTCTACAGTGAATTTTTCTTTAGAACATATTATTTTCACATGTTCTTGCCCAAATATTTGGGATCTAAAGTATTATCTGCAATAATTTTGCTTGGTTTCTCCTAAAGATTAATTTTGCAGGGATGCCAATAAAAATACGCTTTCTCGGTAAAAGACTGAAAAGTTATAGAAATCATTTTAACTTCCTTTTTTTTGTGTGTGTGTCTAAGAAGAGACATTATTTTTTCACCCTTTCTGCTTTTATGATTAAATTGTTTTCCTTCTAAGATCTTTTTTGCATTCACACTAGAATGATCAGGCTTTATTTCTGAATTAATTTTTTGTAACTTAAGGTCACAGAGTGTGTTTTCTTTGACTTGAATGTGGTCAACATTTAAGTCTAAAACTTTCTTTAACTGAATGCAGTTTTGGACCCAGACTCACAACTCAGAATCAGCTTGTTAGTGAAGCCAAACCAATTTACATGGCCTGTAGGTATGAATTTGAAGCTCTGCCAGAGCATGGGGCATATTTATAAAACTGTTTTGATAAAATGTGAGTAACCTAAGTGCTGCTTTTTATGTCAGGGAAGCCCTTCTCAGATTCACAAGACCTCTCTGTGGCAGTCTCATCTGCAAGCCAACTTGCTTGGCTTTCTTAAATTACATAAAAGTCGAGTTCTGCTCAAAGTACTGAAGTAGATATGTCAACAGTGCTGGCCTTTTACCCAAGAGTTCAGGGCTTAGCACATTAATAAATCAAAGCTTCCCAGATACTAATTCTCTCATGTGCCGAAGGGGAGTTAACTCACTTCTTCCAAATGAATATGTTACTCTGAAGTAATGGAAGGCAAAAGGAACATTCTCTTCATTTTATTGAAGCTATTCTACTTTACATTTACTAAAGCCAAGCCTCAGTTTGGTCAAAGAACATGAAAGTGTGAGCATTTGACTATCCATAGCAATTCGTCACTCATCTGAAAGAAGGAAGAAAATCAGAAATGCTGAGTTTCAATCCTCCTTTCCAAAAAATACTTCAATATTATATACTGTGGTCTTTGGACCAGGCCTTTAATCCAAAAAGTAGTTTGAAATTTTGTACCAGATGAGACCCAAATTGGAAACTGAATCTATATTTTTTTTTTACTTGAAGTAATTTGAAACCACACAGCATAAAGACTCCCACACAAAGTTTTGTTCCACTGAAATCTCTACACTGAAATCTTCAGTTTTTCCTGTAAGTGCAAGCTGTCAAGAGCAGAGCTTGTCAAGACCACCTAGATATTTCTCACATTATATACTAAATATTGTTTGCTTGGGATGTCCATAATGGATAAAATTCATCCACAGTCAGAGGGGCAGCTAAGGAATGCATGGCACTTAATTCATGAGCCTTAAAGTTAAGTGGGACATGGCCTTCCCTCTCCCCACCTCCCAACAGGACTAAGTTAGATGTAAGTTGCAATACCTAAAACAAGTAGAAAAGTTTCCTTGACAAATTGTATGGAGATAAAAAGACTCACATAAACTCCCACTGCTAAAGCCAAGCAGTGGATTTAGCTTGATTTTGTAGTGCATTAAAGAGGACAGAGTGCAGTGGTCAGGAAGTCCCTTCCCTTGTAAATTTTGCCTGCCATAAAGCTAGTTTTAACCTACAGCTCTGGTGGTAAGCAGCACGCTGAATCTCTTGCTGGTCTCAGAGTGAATTCATGAGCTGGGCTCTAAGAACAGGATTTTCTTCTGAAACTGGAAACATCATTAATTTGCCACAGAAAATGTCAGGGGTTTAGAGCTATCTTTTTATAGATCTTTAAAATAATCTTTTTAAAAAATAAAATCAAAGTTAAATTAGACATAAAAGATAATAATTTACCACTGAAGTGTGATATTAAGTACTCAAAAGTCTGGTAATGAAAATGTTCCCACAGTAGCCGTAACCTGTCATCAGATTTCACAGGTGACTTCTCTCTAAGATTTAATTTAGTGTAATACTTTGAATGTTGGTGAAAGGTAATAAAAACCCCTAGATATGTAAGATGAATAAGTCCATCATAGTGTGAGGTTTGAGGAGTATTTTTTCTATGACTTTATATTAATTATAGTTAATTTTACTTAGAATCTTAAGATTGAATCATCAAACACAGTAGGATTCATCTAATATTCACTCTGAATATAATATAATTTTGAGATAGTAGGTAAAGTTCATTCAGGAATTTAACATAACTGTGTACCAGACTGAAGGTCCTGCGCAGCCTATAAAAATAAGGATATTTCCCTATGAATAACTATGAAAAAAATTGCATTTCATGCAAAATCATGTGCAAATTATATACTGCCAGTATTCTCAAGCATTCAAAAATTATGAAGGAAACTGCAAATAGTATTGTTGGATTAGATATCATTTCTCCTACAGATACAAATAAAAATAACTTTTGTTCTCATTGCTATTGTTTCTGAGCCACCCAATATAATCAGTCAGTATAAAACCCTGTTGACCTCCTGTTTTCATTTTTTATGAAATCAGATAGAAACGTGGCATATTTTACTGCATAAGTACTTTTTACATCATAATGTTATTAACAGTTTTGCTGCAATTTTTGTAAGGTGCATTCTCAATAAAGTATTTGCTAAAAATTTTTGCTTATGCAAGACATAGTTTCTTTTATAGCTATATCAGTTCAAAGGAACCCTTAATCGGATTACTTAATTCAACAGACTAAATCTAGTAGAACTGTGGGTTTATTAGAAAAAGTACATTTGAAGAAGCTAAGACTGTAAGCTAGATTAGATATTGATGTTGCTCATGTTATTGAAAATCAGAGTAACAATACTGAAATCACTATCTGATTAACTAATCATGTTTATAATTACATGCTGCAAAGCCAGGATAATTCCATAATGCCAGCTGAGTCTGGATTTAACATATTCATATAATGGTTTGAGGTATGAAATGAAATGCCAGTTAACAACAATAGAAACAAGGCATGAAATATATTTAAGAAGGTGTACATTTTTCTGGAAGAGAAAGAGTAGTGAAATCACTGCAGCCATGTGCTAAATATTTGGGTTGAATATAATGAAGTAGAAAATTACTTGTATTTGTCACTCTGACTAATGTAAGTGCAGGCCCTGATGGATTGTTGTGTCTCCTCTTTAGATCTTGGTTATTCACGGGTTTCTTTAGATGGCCTACAGAAATGTGACATAGCATCCTGGGATGATGGCTAAAACAAAAGTAAAGCAGGTTGTTGAATGCTGCTGTTGTTAGATTATAATTTATTTGCTTTTGTGTTTTGCTTTGTATTGATTTCCCCTTAGTCTCATATAAAATACTGCAGTCTTCTTAGATTCATTTGAATCATAGAACTGCACTGTCAAAAAGACACTAGAGTGTTCATATTGCTCCTGCATTCTTTATAATTGTAATTATATTTCTAATTTGTAATTCTGAAAAACAGAATACTGAGTGACTCAAAAACCTCCATGCAACTCTGCCCCAGTAACTCAAGGTTTAGCTGTCATAGCTGGAGTTTTGATGCTGGCAAAGGCAGTTAACTGATGCTAATGGTGTTTGGGTAAACTGTAAGAATAATCTATTTTTGTAAGATATTTAGATACCTAAGCTGTTTGGACATTTTCAAGATTTGTAGCAGACACACAACTGCCACTGAAGTCCCAGTCTACATTTTCATTTAGAAGTTTAAACATCTTTGAAATTTTTCCCTTTCGTCTGGTGCAACACCTCTTGAACCCTAGGTAATTCTGTGAGCTTTAGGTAGTGTCCTAAATTAAGATTGTGATGTTTATATGATGTCAGCGCAGCATCATTTCACTTTACAGCTGGAGTTTTGAAAACAGACTTCAGAAATGAAA